AAATACAGTGAAATTCTTGAGGGAAACCTGTTTGTCTTCAAGAGATTTGAGACTGGGACGGAGGTTCACCTTCCAGCAGGACAATGACCCTAAGCATACTGCTAAAGCAAAACTCGAGTGGTTTAAGGGGAAACATTTTAAATGTCTTGGAATGGCCTAGTCAAAGCCCAGACCTCAATCCAATTGAGAATCTGTGGTATGACTTAAAGATTGCTGTACACCAGCGGAGCCCATCCAACTTGAAGGAGCTGGAGCAGTTTTGCCTTGAAGAATGGGCAAAAATCCCAGTGGCTAGATGTGCCAAGCTTATAGAGTCATACCCCAAGAGACTTGCAGCTGTAATTGCTGCAAAAGGTGGCTCTACAAAGTATTGACTTTGGGGGGGGGGGTGAATAGTTATGCATGCTCAAGTTCTGTTTTTTTTTTTTTTTTTTTTTTTCTTGTTTGTTATACAAAGTTTTTTATTTTACATCTTCAAAGTGGTAGGCACATTGTGTAACTCAAATATACAAACTTCCCCAAAAATCAATTTTATTTCCAGGTTGTAAGGCAACAAAATAGGAAAGATGCCAAGGGGGGTGAATACTTTCGCAAGCCACTGTACATACATTTTTAGACTGAAGTTACTTATATCCATCAATTGATTCTTGAAGAATATAACTTATAAATGCCTCATGAGCTTAGTTCAACTGTCGTACCACATCAGAACCCAAAATATAAGCTTGTTTTCTGTAAAAAATAAAAAATAAAAAACTGTATAGCAGGGGTATTCAACTCTTACCCTACAAGGTCTGGAGCCTGCTGGTCTTCTGTTCTACCTGCACCCACCTGGTGTCCCAGGTCTAAATCGGTCCCTGATTTAGAGGGTAACATTGAAAAAAAAACGCAGTGGATCTGGCTTTCAGGTCCAGAGTTGCGTTTGAGGGCTGTATAGCCTCAAAACATGGTAGAACTATAATTTTGATATTATGGATGTTCAGTCCTTTGTTATCATAGCTCTGTCCATGAGCTTGAGTGGTTACAGTTCTCCAGACCCATCCCTCAGCTTTTTACAAAATCAGTGGTGGGGTGACTTCTTTGTAATTGTTTGAACTGCAGATAGCGCTTGCAAACCTTAAAGGGGCAAACTACTTCTCTACCCTGTTCTCTGAAATCCCACAATTCAAACATTCTGGTTACAACAATGACATGCTTTTATCCCCTGATCTCTGCAAACAGTATCTCTAAACGTATAAAAAAAAAGTGATTTGGTATTATCCAAGATTTTAGAAAAGTTATTTTCAAGGAATTGGTGGCTTAATTGAGTATGAATAACTTCCAGTCTGGCTTCCACTCACTTCACAGCAAGGACACTGCTTTATTGTAAGTCAGTAATGGCCTTCTGTTGGTTGTCGGTGAATGCTCTATTCTAGTTATTTTGGATCTGTGCCGCATTTGATACTCTTGATCTTAACATCTTTGTTGACCGGCTGGAGAGGTGAGTGGGAATCTCCAGTGTTGCCCTCAACTGGCTCAGGTCAAACTATGTGGCAGACATTTCTCAGTGAGCATGGGTGGTTCAGTAGCATCCCCAGCACCTATTCACTATGTTGTCCCTCAGGGGGAAGTCTGGGTCTGTCATGCCAAATGGTGTCCCCCGGCCAAATAGTGTCCCCCTCTGCGTCACAATGGGATTCGATAAACTATTAGCGTCCGTTGCTATATCAACGGTGTGATGACCTAATGATTAGAATTTTGGAGATCATTACAGCATAAATAGTTATTTTCATCATCGCAATGCAAACAAGGCTGATTTCCGCTGCAATTTCGTTGTTTAAACAAGTTTTGTTTAGCTAATAAAATGAACATTACTTTAAACTACTTTTGGGTACCTTGTTAACATTAAATCCATGTCTTAAACGTTGCTACGTTTCGGAAATGGCAAAGAAAACGTAATCTGCTTGACACGTTAAAGTTACTTACCTTACAGATCACGAAGTCAGCTAATTTCCACTCCATTCATATGCAAATCCGTTTGATTCATACACTGGCTTGTCTGGCTGTCATGTTTTAATTGTAACCTGCCCTTCCCTTGTCTACACTGAAATAATATAATTTCAGTAGTCCTCTATTATGATTCATTTTTTTCTATCTCATTAGTAAACCCTTGTGGTTGAATATATATGTATCTATTGTAGGTCCTAGTATACAACAATGAATAATGTGTAACAAATAAATACCATCAAAGGATACGTTACAACTTACAGTAATGAACACCTTGTGAAACAGCTGTGAAAACCAACCTCGCAATATTTAAGATTTTAATAAATCAACTTTGATATTTTTTGGTACAGTTGTGTCATTCATATATTTTCCGATTTTATTATTATTTTTGTACACTCACATGGCTATCATAGACTAAAATACAGAATTCTGGTGGTTGCTGTGTGGGTGGGAGGTTCTGCCTGTCAACAGGCAGGCAGTCTCAGAAGGGGGACTTGAAGAGGGAGACTGCAAAGTCCAGGCACTGCTGCTCTCTTTGTTCTGAGTGTTTGCAGTGCTAGGGTTTTTAGTTAATCTGTGTATCTCACATTATGTTCCCAGTATGATAGACTAATATGTTTTTTAGCAGATAATGACAACATGATCATAACAGCAGCTGCAGATGATGTAATGAAAAGTTGAAGGGTGGTTGGTAATGGAGGACATCAGGTGCATCCACATCTGGGTGTTGGGCAGAACTCCTAAGTCCTGGAGAACAGGAGCAGAGTAACAGGATAGGAGACAGAGACGTAAACAAGCAAACACACGTTACTGTGAGGAAATTTGATGGATTAGGGCAGTGTTATCAATGGGAGATACAGTGAGGGGGAAAAAGTATTTGATCCCCTGCTGATTTTGTACGTTTGCCCACTGACAAAGAAATGATCAGTCTATATAATTTTAATGGTAGGTTTATTTGAACAGTGAGAGACAATAACAACAACAAAAATCCAGAAAAACGCATGTCAAAAATGTTATAAATTGATTTGCATTTTAATGAGGGAAATAAGTATTTGACCCCTCTGCAAAACATGACATAGTACTTGGTGGCAAAACCCTTGTTGGCAATCACAGAGGTCAGACGTTTCTTGTTGGCCACCAGGTTTGCACACATCTCAGGAGGGATTTTGTCCCACTCCACTTTGTAAATGTTCTCCAAGTCATTAAGGTTTTGAGGCTGACGTTTGGCAACTCGAACCTTCAGCTCCCTCCACAGATGTTCTATGGGATTAAGGTCTGGAGACTGGCTAGGCCACTCCAGGACCTTAATGTGCTTCTTCTTGAGCCACTCCTTTGTTGCGTTGGCTGTGTGTTTTGGGTCATTGTCATGCTGGAATACCCATCCACGACCCATTTTCAATGCCCTGGCTGAGGGAAGGAGGTTCTCACCCAAGATTTGACGGTACATGGCCCTGTCCATCGTCCCTTTGATGCAGTGAAGTTGTCCTGTCCCCTTAGCAGAAAAACACCCCCAAAGCATAATGTTTCCACCTCCATGTTTTACGGTGGGGATGGTGTTCTTGGGGTCATAGGCAGCATTCCTCCTCCTCCAAACACGTTGAGTTGATGCCAAAGAGCTCAATTTTGGTCTCATCTGACCACTACTTTCACCCAGTTCTCCTCTGAATCATTCAGATGTTCATTGGCAAACTTCAGACGGGCATGTAATGTGCTTTCTTGAGCAGGGGGACCTTGCGAGCGCTGCAGGATTTCAGTCCTTCACGGCGTAGTGTGTTACCAATTGTTTTCTTGGTGACTATGGTCCCAGCTGCCTTGAGATCGTTGACATGATCCTCCCGTGTAGTTCTGGGCTGATTCCTCACCGTTCTCATGATCATTGCAACTCCACGAGGTGAGATCTTGCATGGAGCCCCAGGCCGAGGGAGATTGACAGTTCTTTTGTGTTTCTTCCATTTGCGAATAATCGCACCAACTGTTGTCACCTTCTCACCAAGCTGCTTGGCGATGGTCTTGTAGCCCATTCCAGCCTTTTGCAGGTCTACAATCTTGTCCCTGACATCCTTGGAGAGCTCTTTGGTCTTGGCTATGGTGGAGAGTTTGGAATCTGATTGCTTCTGTGGACAGGTGTCTTTTATACAGGTAACAAGCTGAGATTAGATGCACTCCCTTTAAGAGTATGCTCCTAATCTCAGCTCGTTACCTGTATAAAAGACACCTGGGAGCCAGAAATCTTTCTGATTGAGAGGGGGTCAAATACTTATTTCCCTCATTAAAATGCAAATCAATTTAAAACATTTTTGACATGCGTTTTTCTGGATTTTTTTGTTATTCTGTCTCTCTGTTCAAATAAACCTACCATTTAAAATGATAGACTGATCATTTCTTTGTCAGTGGGCAAATGTACAAAATCAGCAGGGGATCAAATACGTTTTTCCTTCACTGTATGTACTTTTCAACACTTTTGGAAGGTATTGCCTACCTCAAGCTAGTCTCACTCCGACTCAGAGCACAGAGAATCAGACTGAACCGAACTCACTGGTTCTGGTGGATGGGATACCCTCTGGGGGGCTCGGACAGAGTTACATAGCCATACAAACGTTGCCTTGAAATGTGTGTGACTTTGCTGTTTTGGGTATCAATATAAACGAGATGTCATCTTGCGTTGAAGCCTTTATCTTACTCACTATTTCTAAATAGATAAGAAAATACATCTGTTATTATATCAAACAGATCACGACTATAGCCTACATGACCAAGTTTTGATGTTTTATTTTTTTTCAGTAACAAAATGTCTAAAGCACTTTCCACTCCAGCCGAAATGACTCAAAGACGGTAATGTTCAGTGTAATATCATGTTTCTATGATGACTCACACTGCATCTGTAAACACACTGTCAAACAGATCAAAGTCAAGGCCATGTCCTCTTTTACTAACACAACATGGCTTCTCTCTCTTTATTTTTCCTCCTGCTCTGTATGCATCAGATCACTGATTACACACACACACCGCCAGACATCATGCAGGAGTCTGAGCCCACCGTGTGCCAGCTGCAGCCTAACATCATCTCGGTGCGTCTCTTCAAGAGAAAGGTGGGTGGGCTGGGCTTCCTTGTCAAGCAGCGCGTCTGCAAGCCGCCCGTCATAGTGTCCGACCTGATCCGGGGCGGGGCGGCCGAAGAGTGTGGCCTGGTCCAGGTGGGGGACATAGTCCTGGCCGTCAACAACAAGCCACTGGTGGAACTCAGCTATGAGCGGGCTCTGGAGACCCTGAAGAATGTGTCCCCTGAGAGCCACGCTGTCCTCATCCTTAGGGGCCCTGAGGGCTTCACCACCCACCTGGAGACCACCCTGTCTGGGGATGGACGTCAGAGGACCATCAGGGTCACCAGGCCAGCCTTCCCCGCCGCCAAGTCCTACGAGCATTGCTGTCCGTTAAGCCCCCTCAGCCCGGGGCAGGGAGGCAAAGACCTACAGCAGCTGAGTGCCATCGAGAACCTGTCCTCCACCTCGGTGACCCCTTCCCGCAGAGAGGCCCTGCTCCAGAGGGGAGGGGTGCAGGCACTGATCGCAGCCCAAGATCCCATGCTCAGAGACGGGGGCCGGGGGGCGCTGCTGCTGAACGGTGTGGAGGAGAACAACGACATGCTGAAGGAGATAGAGCCGGTGCTGCGGCTGATCAAGAACAGCAAGAGGGAGATCAACGGAGAGGAACAGAGGACCATAGAGAGGAGGGACGCTGAGGTGCAGGTGGACCGGTGAGCTGATCTATTGACCCTGACCATACATAACTACGCATACACAGTAGTACATCACCACACACCACAACACAGTGATCATTTAGTTGGTTAGATGGTAGAATGAGAATACTACTGCAGGCTAATTATAGATCTCTACATTTCTAGTGTTTCTTTTCACATCAGGGAGCAGTTGGTCCGTGACGGATAGATAAAAAGGTTTCAATCTGATTCTTGCAGTTATTTTCTTTGGAGAGCTCCTATTGGTGCAAAACACTAATGTCCAAACCCACTCAAAGGCCTGCAGTAGTGATTGTACTGTAGACACGGACATCTTACATCTCCTGTGTACATGTATCCAATCTAAATCTGATTGAGAGAGCATGGTACATACAGTAGTTCAATCAATAGCACTGAGTCGACCCCCTATGTGTGCTCTGCTGGCTCCCATCCTCAAATGAATCATAGCTTTTTTGGAAAATGGATGTAATATGCACTTTAAGTCTACCTCAAACCAAAGCACTGTGGAAATTCTATTGTGGTTGATTAATAGCTATGGTACTTTAACACAAATTAGCTTTAAATGCATCCTGTATTTTAGACGGGCAGACTGAAAACGTGTTGGCATTTGAGACAGGAAAGAGTCGGCTAGCTAACCTGATTTCCTTGTTAGGGCTATGATGACGTTCAGATATGGCGAAGCTCGATCACTAAAGAGGCTCTCCAAAGAGCACCCAATAGAGGTGAAGGATTATAGAAAATGAAATTGCGGTATTGGGTATTGACTCAGCCTTCACTGTTATCTGACTATTTGCGCAGTATCATCTTGCTAATAAGTTGATAGCTGTTGAACTGAAATAGAACAGCACATTAACTAGAAGAGCTATTTATACCAAAAGCTGTTTTCACGCTGAAGGCTCTATTTTCGGCTGGAGCTACGTTGCTTGCGTTGATGTGGGAGGGGTGGCAATATTTGATGTGTCCTTGAAAACAAGCGCAAAAGTGAAAAATTCATGCAGCGCATATTGGGTGATTTTTAAGACCAACGAAAAGCAGGTTGGTAAATAAAAATCCATGTAGGCTACGTGTCCATATGCCCATCATGAAATGAGAGATTAGATAATGCTAGTTGACCTTGTATTTAGAACTTATAAATACAAGGTCAAAAACCAAAGCCTCCATAGGCTACCCTTAAGTGTATGCCTATAGGCTATAACGAAGGCTGGTTCAACAGCAAACCATATACACTACCAGTCAAAAGTTTGGACACACCTACTCATTCGAGGGTTTTTCTTTATTTTTATTATTTTCTACATTGTAGAATAATAGTGAAGACATCAAAACTATGAAATATCACATATGGAATCATGTAGTAACCCAAAAAGTGTTAAACAAATCAAAATCTATTTTAGAATCTTCAAAGTAGCCACCCTTTGCCTTTGACAGCTTAACACACAGTCTTGGCATTCTTTCAACCAGCTTCACCTGGAATGCTTTTCCAAAAGTCTTGAAGGAGTTCGCACATATGCTGAGCACTTGTTGGCTGCTTTTCCTTCACTCTGCGGTCCAACTCATCCCAAACCATCTCAATTGGGTTGAGGTCGGGGGATTGTGGAGGCTAGGTCATCTGATGCAGCACTCCATCACGCTCCTTCTTCGTCAAATAGCCCTTATACAGCCTGGAGGTGTGTTGGGTCATTGTCCTGTTGGAAAACAAATGATAGTCCCACTAAACCCAAACCAGATGGGATGGCGTATCACTGCAGAATGCTGTGGTAGCCATGCTGGTTAAGTGTGCCTTGAATTCTAAATAAATCACTGACTGTGTCACCAGCAAAGCACCCCCACACCATCACACCTCCTCCATGCTTCACGGTGGGAACCACACATGCGGAGATCATCCGTTCACCTACTCTGCGTCTCACAAAAACACGGTTGGAACCAAAAATCGCAAATTTGGACTCATCAGACCAAAGGACAGATTTCAACTGGTCTAATGTACATTGCTTGTGTTTCTTGGCCCAAGCAAGTTTCTTATTATTATTGGTGTCCTTTAGTGGTGGTTTCTTTGCAGCAATTCGACCATGAAGGCCTGATTCACGCAGCCTCTTCTAAACAGTTGATGTGTCTGTTACTTGAATTCTGTGAAGCATTTATTTGGGCTGCAATTTCTGAGGCTGGTAACTCTAATGAACTTATCCTCTGCAGCAGATGTAACTCTAGGTCTTCTATTCCTGTGGCGGTCCTCGTGAGAGCCAGTTTCATCATAGTGCTTGATGGTTTTTGCGACTGCAGTTGAAGAAACTTTCAAAGTACTTGACATTTTCTGTATTGACTGTCGTTTCTCTTTGCTTATTTGAGCTGTTCTTGCCATAATATGGACTTGGTCTTTTACCAAACAGGGCTATCTTCTGTATACCCCCCCTACCTTGTCACAACACAACTGATTAGCTCAAACGCATTAAGAAGGAAAGAAATTCCACAAATTAACTTTTAACAAGGCACACCTGTTAATTGTAATGCATTCCAGGTGACTACCTCCTGAAGCTGGTTGAGAGAATGCCAAGAGTGTGCAAAGCTGTCATCAAGGCAAAGGGTGGCTACTTTGAAGAATGTCAAATATAAAATATATTTTCATTTAACACTTTTTTTAGTTTTTTGGTTACTACCTGATTCCGTATGTGTTATTTAATAGTTTATGTCTTCACTATTATTCTACAATGTAGAAAATGGTAAAAAAAAAAAAAAAACTTGAATGAGTAGGTGTGTCAAACTTTTGACTGACTGGTACTGTGCATTCGGAAAGTATTCAGACCCCTTGACTATTTCCACATTTTGTTGCCTTACAGCCTTATTCTAAAATTGATTAAAAAAAACACATTTAATCATCAATCTACACACAGTACCCCATAATGACAAAGCAAAAAGAGGTTTCTTGAAGTTTTTGCTAATTTATATAAAAAAATACACATTTACGTAAGTATTCAGACCCTTTACTCAGTACTTTGTTGAAGCACCTTTGGCAGGGATTACAGCCTCAAGTATTCTTGGGTATGATGCTACAAGCTTGGCACACCTGTATTTGGGGAGTTTCTCCCTTTATTCTCTGCAGATTCTCTCAAGCTCTGTCAGGTTGGATGGGGAGTGTCGCTGCACAGCTATTTTCAGGTCTCTCCGGAGATGTTCGATCGGGTTCAAGTCCGGGCTCTGGCTGGGCCACTCAAGGACATTCAGAGGCTTGTCCCGAAGCCACTCCTGCGTTGTCTTGGAAGGTGAACTTTCGGCCCTGTCTGAGATCCTGAGGATCACCAAGGATCTCTCTGTACTTTGCTCCATTCATCTTTCCCTCGATCCAGACTAGTCTCCCAGTCCCTGCTGCTGAAAAACATCCCCACAGCATGATGCTGCCACCACCATGCTTTACCGTAGGGATGCTGCCAGGTTTCCTTCAGACTTGACGCTTGGCATTCAGGACAGAGTTCAATCTTGGTTTCATCAGACCAGAGCATCTTGTTTCTCATGGTCTGAGAGTCTTTAGGTGCCTTTTGGCAAACTCCAAGCTGGCTGTCATGTGCCTTTTTACTGAGGAGTGGCTTCCGTCTGGCCACTCTACCATAAAGGCCTGATTGGTGGAGTGCTGCAGAGATGGTAGTCCTTCTGGAAGATTCTCCCATCTCCACAGAGGAACTCTGGAGCTCTGTCAGTGACCATCAGTTTCTTGGTCACCTCCCTGACCAAGGCCTTTCTCCCCCGATTGCTCAGTTTGGCCGGGCGGCCAGCTCTAGGAAGAGTCTTGGTGGTTCCAAACTTCTTCCGTTTAAGAATGGAGGCCACTGTGTTCTTGGGGACCTTCAGTGCTGCATACATTTTTCGGTACCCTTCCCCAGATCTGTGCCTTGACACAGTCCTGTCTCGGAGCTCTACGGACAATTCCTTCGACGTCATGGCTTGGTTGTTGCTCTTACATGCACTGTCAACTGTGGGACCTTATATAGACGTGTGTGTGCCTTTCCAAATCATGTCCAATCAATTGAATTTACCACTGGTGGACTCCAATTGTAGAAACATCTCAAGGATGATTAATGGAAAGAGGATGCACCTGAGCTCAATTTCGAGTTTCATAGCGAAGGGTCTGAATTCTTATGTAAATAAGGTATTTCCGAATGCACTGTATAAGAACTACTCTTGTTATTTTTGAGTTTCTGAGTTTTTTTAATTTTTATAGCCTATATCTTTTGGTAACCCATTCAATTTTCCACCACAAAACAATGGCCAAAAAGAGTATAACCAGCTCGCCTGCTTTTACAGTATGATTTAACTATTCATGTTTAATATTGTTTTTACAAGAGTTCAGTCCACGTAACAGGGTTGACCTTAAAATGACGGACTTTATTTTTTTTATTTTTTTTGTGCCTAAAATGAATCTGTAATGAAATAATAATTTTCAGAAATTAATGTTATAGCAAACAAAATAACTAGGGCCTTACAATGATGGTGAAAACCTGGAGAAATGTTTGGGTTAAGTGCGTTAATCTTTATACTGTAGAAGTGAGGGTGCACAGAGGGTCATGTCAAAATGCATAATTTTTGCACTTTAGCAAGTCTTTTATTCATTTATAAAACTTTTTTTTTTTTTTTTCATGTGGTCTATATTAAATGGCACTTCATTTAATATAGCAGGCTTTTACAATTCAATATTGGTGCATAATGTCTACTTAACATATCAAAGGGACTCATTTCATGGAAAGACCCAGATGTTAGTTAGATGTATATCTGCTTGCCCATAGATGTTAGTTAGATGCTGTACTTCATCTGTATGTTGTTTTTAATGGAATTGTTTCTCTAAGTGTTTTTTAGTTGGGGTTAGGGTAAGGGGGTTAGGGTTATTGTTTCTGTACGTCTGACACCACAGTAACTGTCATTGCATTAGTAGTAAATTAGTTATTGTATGTTACGCAATTGTTTGGCAAGATCTCAGTGTTTTGATTTAGTTCAGGGGAGCGTTTCATCTATGTTTTGATGTCTCTCAAAGTGAAGACGTAATAGGGGGTTTAAGACCAGATGTTAACACACACAGACCCCTACCTTAAACGGAAATATATGTGCCTTGCAGGGACCTTGGTATGGGAAACGGTATGTCACCCCAGCTGGCGTCTGATAAGGATAGTGTGTGTGAAGACCTGTGGAGGAAGGACAACAACATGCAGACAGTGCTCACCAACCCTTATTCTGAGAAGGACAAGGTAAAAACACTCAACTATGTTTGTGTGCACTCTTAGGTTCTAGACAGCACCTTTTTTTCCCCCTAAGGAAAACACTTTTTGGTTCCAGGTAGAACCCTTTTGCTTCCAGGTAGAACTCTTTACACAGATGGTTCTTCATGGAACCCCAAAGGTTCTCCTATGGGGACAACCGAAGAACCCTTTTGGAACCCTTTTTTCTAAGAGTGTGTGCATATTTTTATGAGTGCATCCACTTGTGAAAGTCTATCCTCCCGTATGTGTGTAAGCGTATGCTAGCCCATGGCTATCTCCTAGAGTCGCACATAACATATGCTTCTATAACCTCCTAATCTATACATTGCATGTTCCTTGTTCTTGGAATTCTTAGAGCTTCCTGTGACTGTGAATGAGCATCATAACAAGGCAAAGCCCCTCTTGGCTCAAGATCTCATCACTTGGGCATTCGATCCTTCCAGCTGATAGCTGTCAGAGCATATGAGACGTGTAAGCTGGATTTCATGGAGAGTCTGGTTGTGACTGGAGTGGAGAGAGAGCCAGACCCCTGGCTCTGTGTGTGCGTCTACACGCACGTTTGCGTCATAATCCGTACATGGCCCCATGATGATCCACCCACTTGTGACGTAGGCTGGGCTGCTTGAACCGCCTGCTCTCGTAGTGAATGAGGCCGGATGGAGAGAAACGATCGACGGAACTATTGAATGTGTGCAGCTGTGGTCGCCGAGGGAGATGATTCATCTTTCGCCTCTGATTTGGCCCTCTCCAAATTAGGTATTTTGAGGTTCCCTCCATTTAGGTCTTTGAGGTCTGGAGGGATACGTGTGCGTGCGTGCGTAGTGGGGATCTACCATTTGATTCTCTCAGCCATTTTCCATATTTCCTTGATCATTTGATGGTGAAGCAGGGCGTCCATCTGTTGTGCAATACGTCATTCTCCATCGTACGAGGGACCAGGAGAGACGGGAGGCTACAGAACTACCAAATGACAAGGTTGTAGAGTTGAAATTTGTATTTCATTAAGATGGAAAGGGCTTGACGATAGGCTTGGAATGATTCTTTTTCACCTTAGGGGAGGACTGTCCTGAACTCTGGCTGTGCCTTGTGCTGAGCTCACTGCTAAAGTTTCTACTGTATCATTGACTGGTTAATAAGTAGAGGTGACAGGTTCTGGAGATTTGGCTCTCCTTTGATGCACCTCAGGATAAGCAGAAGTAGCACCGTGCAAGAAGTTCTCTTGTCCTGTGTTCTTCTGCATAATATCGCTGAATAGATCCAAGAGTTCAACCAGTCAAACTCTGTCAACTGATAAAATAAATATGTTTTTCTTCATTCCCCCAATTCATGATTCATGTTATTAATGTTAATTGAAGAACTTGTTCTCGCTCCTACTTACACTTTACATGTTCATTGTACTCATCTGCCTTCCTCTGGCTGTTTGACTACGGGGGTAATAAGCTCTCTTTCTGTGGCCTAGCTGCACAATAAGCTTTCTGTATAGAGGAACTTGGATATGATGACAATGGAACACGTTTTTAATGCATCCTATCGCTGGCTGGGTGGGTGAGCGTTTCGTCTGGGCACAGAATCACTTCTATCGCTGAGGAATCAAAATTAATTGACGGGTCTCCCCTCCTATTCTCTGAAATCATTGGGCCTCGATTGACGTTTTTGCATTCATCCCCTCAGCAAGCGCTACAATTACACCTGTTGTTTGAGGTTCCTTCACCGCGTGGTTTCGCAATCACTCCTCTTGAGAGATGATGATGATAAGAGGTATTACAAGGTGTGGGATAGATTTCCTTTTGATTTGAGGTTCAGCCGCATGGAGAGATCTGAGTACTTTAAGAGACTAGAATCAATTCAATACAACAATCAAACTTGTGGTAAATTACATTCATTCAAGCAATCATCACATAATAACCACACCATAGTAGACAAGCTGAGGGAGCTGGCAATTAGCAGCCAATCATGCTAGTGTTTAATGATGCTGATTACCTTTCTACGTGATGAGGGGTGTGTGTGTGTCCTGTCTCTCACTGGCTGCGTTTACACAGGCAGCCCAATTATGATATTTTACCCTACTATTGGCAAAAGATTTGATCTGATTGGTCAAAAGACCAATTGGTGGAAAAAATATCAGAATTGGGATTTAGACGGTAAGAGGCTGAGAAAAGAATGCTGCTGGTGGACTTATGTTGGCGCTCCCATTTGGAGTCCGTGGTAGGGACCTTCTCTATCGGTCTCTGGCTACGTTTACACAGGCAGCCCAATTCAGATTTTGTTTTTTTGCCCCGATTTATTGCCAAAGATCTAATCTGATTGGTCAAAAGACCAATTAGTGGCAAAATATCAGAATTGTGTAAACAGCCTCTCTCTCGCTCTCCTTTTCCCTCTCTACCTAAAGTTCTTATCTCAAACCTCTACTCAGGGGTGGGTTCGAAGGCCATCTCAGTAGAAGCGTTATGCGCTACTCTACAGACTAAAATGTATTAATTATCTTAAACATCCGTCTCTTCCCTCCAGCCTCCAGCACAGGGGAGGATCTCCCCTGACAAGGCTCTCCAGAATGGCAGCCCCTCCAAATGCCCACGCTTCATGAAGATCAAGAATGTGGAGACTGGAGTCACGTACAACGACACTCTACACCACAGCTCTAGTAAGGTACGGAACGGTATTTTCTTGTCTGCAGAACAGTGGCTTCCTCTCATCAATCAATCGATTAGTCAATTAGCTAATCAATTAGCCAATCAACTAACCGTTCAATCAATCCAATCAGTTTGTACATGTCTAGCCATTTTCTTACAAATACATTTGTCACAAAGTGCTTAACTGCAACCCCCTAGCGCAAGACCTAAGCATATAGCCATTTATCTGAATAGACAACTCTACAGCCGTCGGCTTGGTCTTTTAACATCAGCCTAGCTAATTACTTCAGCGACTTATCGGACGACAGCCTACTATGTATCCCAATGAATAGGCTTCTAATAGTGCATCTTCAGATGTATAATATATCACATAATGTTTTGTCTCAGCCATAAAGGACAGCTGCGTGGCATGAATGCCCAGAGCCTTATGGCGAGCGGATGTTGTGAGGCGAGTGATTTTATTTTTAACACTCTGACTCCGCTCATCACCCTCTTTTTTTTTTCCCTTTCTCTCTCAATATATCTCTCTCGCTTTCTCCTTCCATCACCTAGTCATTCTCAGCGGCCGTGTAATTGTGCATGTTGTTTACTTCTGGGACTTTGCAACTTTAGCGAGCGTCACGTTGAATTGGATGGCTGGGGTTGGTTGAGCAGGGGAAGGGGGGTTTGGGACATAACCTGAGTGGCTGGACAGTGCGGGTGGGTGCGCTGTTGAGTTATTGTTACATTTCCACTCTGGGTTTGTGCTCGGGCGACCGTTTTCTCCCTCTTTCCCCCTCTGCCACTAATCTGGTGACTGCATTAACAGCTACCCAAAGTGACAGCGCACTTCAATTATAATTGTATTCCTCTGACCATACAAGGTTGGTCTGGGTGATGATCCGTCTCCTTTTTTTTCTGTGTGTGTGTTCCCCCTCTTTCCTCTGTTACTTCTCCTGTCTGTGTGTTCTCTGTGCTCAATTGAAGGCTGCCACTATGACTCAATGACTAATTCAGTCATTCTGGACATATACGTCCAGGGGCAATCTGCAGTTCAAACAATTAGTGTCACCCGGCCACTGTTTTGGTAAAAAGCTGAGGGATGGGGCTAGAGAAATGTAACCGCTCTCAGATTCATAGACCGAGCTATAGATGCAAGGAATGACCATCCATGATATTAAATTCTTAACCATGTTTTGAGGCTATGTTTACTAACATTGGCGTAAAACCAAGCTTATATTTTGGGTTCTGATTGGGTACAACAGTTGAACTAAGCTCATTGGGCATTTATAAGTTATATACCCATTTTGATTCTTGAATAATATAGAATTAATTTAAAAGTCAAAGAATGGATGTACCAATCGCAGATTTAATGGAATGATCAATGAGCGGGCTTCATGACATTTTAAGTCAAGCACCCTAGACTTGTTGTTCTGACAGGATAACAAGGGGGTGGTAAATTACACTACTTTACTCTTACATGAATACGTCTGTAGGAGAGGGAGCGTAAAAGCGGGAGAAGTAGAGATGGAGGGGGAAGTAGAGATGGAGGGGGAAGTAGAGATGGAGGGAGAAGTAGATGAGAGGGTTTCCAAGTGCTATGGAATCCATGTGAACTGAACAAAGGACCTGTGTCAGGAGGCCACAGGGGGCTGGGCTGTGTGATCAGATGGAAGCCACAAGGAAATTCAAGGCTCTGATGACTTAAAGCATTGATGTGATGTCATCCACATTGCCTTTCAGTTGCCGCTCTGCACTGAGCGTGTGTGTTTCGGGTCCATCATGACACCTAGCCAGGGGAGCCGCAAGCCAGATGAATCTCGGACCAAAGAGGAGCTGCTGCCGCTGGCTACTGACTTCATAGACCAGTACTACACCTCCATCAAAAGGCAAGAAAGTTACACTGACCCTATACTGTAGCTACTTTAAGAACCTTTGGATGTACTTGCCTGCATCCCTCATTGCCAAAATTCCCACCAGTAGTACAAATGCAGTTTTGTTTTTCCTCACATACATTTGATGCAAATAGTAATCTGTGTTACTTTAGAGTATTTCTTTCTGTGCTTCTCATGCATCTGTGCACACAATGTTTTAATGCAAGAAATACTCCAAATCCAATCCTTTTTACATGTCCTTGTTTTACTTTACTCTCTGTCCTCGTTGCTGTGTTCATCAGGTTTGGCTCGAAGGCCCATGTGGACCGGCTGGAGGAGGTGACTAAGGAGATTGGGGTGTCAGGGACGTACCAGCTGAAGGACACTGAGCTGATCTACGGAGCCAAGCACGCCTGGAGGAACGCTGCCCGCTGTGTAGGACGCATCCAGTGGTCCAAACTACAGGTAGGAAACTCAGATTAAATGCGCTGTGTAGGCAGGATTCAGTGGTCCAAACTATAGGTCAGAAACTCGATGCTCAATGTTAAAGTAACTGCCCATTGTTTACCGATTTTTATGAAATATGACCTATAATTAGTTACAATATCAGTGAAATAGTCTTCAATTTAAAAATAAGTATGTTAAAGATGCACTATGCAAAAATCACTCCTCCATATCCTGGTTGCTCAAATTCTAATAGTTAGCCTAATTTCAGTTTATGTGACAAAACAAGCAAGTACAGTGTAGAGGATCATTGTACCATCTAAACTGCTGTGAAATCTATTTTCCATAACCAAAAATATTGTATTTTCAGCTGTTTTTGAAGCTAGTGTATAAAACTGAAAGTAAAAGACTCAAAAACCAAACATATGCACAGGAAGCATTAGAAATAACGCTCATAGAACATATCTACCGTTTCTTAGACTTGCTTTCAGTGAGATTGACAGATCTATAACTCATTTCTATGTGAATTTGGTCAGGTCACCCAAAAAAGTGACATTGCATCTTTTAAAAAGGAGATTTTCGGTGTTGGAATGGTGTGGGCGTACTCCAACAACAGAATGGTGTGGGCGTATACCAGTCATAAAAAATATCCATGCAAGTAGACTGCTGATTGGCCAGCTCATTCTCCTCAGGGAGATAACATCATGTTCTATGAGAAAATGGCAAGCATTTTTGGTGTGTTTGAGATACAACAGTCTGTTTTGAGGTGTTTTTTTCTTTTTTAAAGTGTTTATTTTTTCAGATTTATGCTTTGGCCACATGAGTCAACAACATTATTTGGGTATGAGTCAACAACATTACTTGGGTATGAGTTAACAGAATATGAACTTTTAAAAGTGAGATTTTCACTGGGCGGTTATATTAAAATCAAATCTCCCTACCATCACATCTAAGCCAATATGACATCAATTACGATAAACTTAAAAAATCAACTTGGCTGGAGGTACACAACACATTCCCCGCCTCTCGTAATGATCCGTGAATATTCATGATCTGTGTAATCTAGCAATATTTGTGATTTAATATGTGCTGAATTATAAAAGTTTGAACTTTGAAAAATAAATGCATTGCAGAGTGATGTTTCACCATTTCAACAACATATTGGCTGTGATGTCGCTACACATGTTGATGGAGGCAGGCCAGACATCGCAGGTCAAACGTTAGTAGTGAAACAATCAAATAAACGCTGATGATGAAAGTGATATCTAATGGGAATCAAATCACACTAATGGAGTATGCCGCTATTCATTTTTTCCCCTAACAATATAGCATAAATGACAACATGCTTTCACTGAGGTCCTTGGATTCTTTGTGTTGAGTTGTTTGTATGAGTGACGAAGACCTTCAGGTCGAAACATTGCACTCAATTAAACTGTGGTAGCATTTCCTATCCCACTGGGCACAGACATCAGTTCAACATCTAGTTTTGGATTTGCTCAACTGAATGTAAATCAATCAGTTTTCCAAGTTGATTCAACGTCCTCACGTAGATTTTTTTGAGGGGGTTTGAAATGACGTGGAAACAACTTTTGATTCAACCAGTTTTTGCCCAGCGGGATCATTACATGATTTTCTAACAGGTATTCGATGCCAGAGACTGCACAACGGCTCATGGAATGTACAATTACATCTGCAACCACATCAAGTATGCCACTAACAAAGGCAACCTGAGGTGAGTCGGCAGTGTTGTCTGTCCCTGTGCCTTTTTCTCAATGTTGTCTGTCGGCCTCTTTTCTGTGTTTATTTCCTCTCTATGCTCGTCTGGTCTGTCACTCTCTTCCCTTTGTCCAGTTTCTCTATCTGGCTCTCTTTCTGTTTTATCTCCCTCCCTTTCTGTCACCTTGAATCTCTCTGTCTCTCTCTTTGTCTCCCTCTGTTCCCTGTCTGTCAATCTCAACTGCGTCTCTCTAGTGAGGTAGACTTTCCTCCCAGCCAGGATCAGTCCAATACAGCTCTGCCAAGCCTAACCACACACCATGACACCAAGTCTTTACTCCCCAATTAATAAACAACATAGGGGGGTTAGTTGAGCCACACGTTGCTTCTAGGAAACTATACACAAAAGGTCCAAAAAATTGATTTTCACAAAGTCAAATTAATTTGTTATAGGTTTCCTGATGCTAGAATATGAGGTCCTAAACCAAGCATTAAAGTGCATTCTTGTAGCAGTGTGGGCTAATGTAGTTACAATGTTTGCCTTGGTAAGTTGAGCCAATGGCCACCATACCCCATACAAATGATGATTTTACATTTTGTCCGCATAATATGCGTAGTATTTTTACAATGTGTCATGCATAGTGCATTTTTATTGTTACAGAGCGGACATCATCATGCCCTGTGTATACAAATGTAAAGCAAGCGGAGGTGTAGCACCCCTTGAGGTTCTTAAGAGAGCAGCCAAGGACGTGAGGGAAGGGAACAAGTCCATTCGAGCTGCAGCAAGGGATGGGGGGAAAGCGAATGAATGACACTGAAGAGTTACATTGACAAAAAAGAAAATTAACATGTACCTGTGCGAAAGAGAGGCTATAATAGAGTAGCAGAGCCAGAGGCACACAAGGTCTTATCTGATGACATGGAGTCTGAGCTTGCTAAACATATCAATAATCTCGCGAACCAGTTTCATGGGCTTAGTAGCCTCAAATGCAGAGAACATGCCTATGAATTGGCACATGGAAACAACATCCATGTCCCAGACAACTGGTTAATAAATGGAAGGGTAAGTGATATTGAACAGGGAGATCTATATCTGAATGTAGAATATACCACACCCCAATTCCATGAATTAAACTTTGACCTACCAGGACCATCACCCACTGTCACAGGACTCCATCACCCACTTACCCCAAGGCGGCTCAACTTACCCTGTCCCTATGCTCAATTTACCCCATACCCGGGGTAAGTTGTGCCAAGAGACCACTTTTTGGGGGGACAAGCTATGTTTTCAAGACGTATGTTTTACATGAATTCTGATTATTTCCAGGGATACACGACATCCTGAAATATATGTAGTTATCTTTGTTAGAAAGAATACTATATTTCCCTTGACGTAGTGGTGTAACAAATGTCTCAACATACCCCACTCTCCCCTACTTATCAGTGTCTGACTCATCACTGCACTGAGTCAATTAACCTCACATCACATTCCCAAAGACCGCTGATACTATACATCAAAGAATACTTAGCCACAGTCAGCATGTAGCAGAAGCCTGATAGCAAATCAGTTTGAGCTTTAGCCAACTCCTCTGTCGGGTTTGTGCATGGCATAACAACAAATGAAGGAGTTGGCTGAAGCACAAACTGATCTGCGGCCAGGCTGCTTCTTCTTAGATTCAGACCCCAAAACAATCTGAGTTTTTTATATTGTCAATTCTCCTCTCATTCTTTGGGCTTGTATTGACTACGGAGGACACTAGTTTCTCTGTAAGGCAAGCATAGAGATTGGTGCCCAGAGACACATGGTTCCTCTGGGACAGAGACTTACAGCCAGATTAGTAGAATCAACCCTTTTGCCCTGTCATGGCATTAGCTTAACCCAAAAGGATAGGTTCAGTAGTGGGGAACTAAAGGTAACTGAGCTTTGGGCCCGTCAGCCTTCCTAACCTGCCTTACCCACAACCTCCTAAATTAAACTTCCCTAAACCATTAGACATTAATTTGTTGCATTGCTAATCTATAGATTCTGTCTATAAACTCATCATTAAACTTTCTCTCTGGGGGCTGGTGGGTTGTTTTCTGTTTCTATCCAGATCTGCCATTACCATATTTCCTCAGAGGACAGATGGCAAGCACGACTTTCGGGTGTGGAACACACAGCTGATTCGCTACGCTGGTTACAAGCAGCCCGACGGTCAGATTCTGGGAGACCCAGCCAACGTGGAATTCACTGAGGTACAGTAAAATGACACTGTGGTCACTGTTATTCAATTATTGTTCGTAAGAGTGAATTATTGTTCGTAAGAGCATGGAATATGTGTCCCTCATGGGATTTGAAATCGCAAACTTTGCCTTGTCAGTTTCAACCCACTGAACCACTTACAGTAGATCACAAAACCTGAAAGTGTTCAATGTCTTTATATAGCATGCCTCCGAGCAAGGCCAAAGCTCTGACTAAAACTGGAGTGGAAACGACCAAACAGGAGTTACACAACTAAATTACTTGAGTGAGTCCATATAAAATCTTTATGAAATGTGTTGGTTTTGGTCACTAGATCTGCATCCAGCAGGGCTGGAAGGCTCCTAAGGGTCGTTTCGACGTGCTGCCCCTCCTGCTGCAATCCAATGGGAACGACCCAGAGCTGTTTGAGATCCCTCAAGACCTCATTCTGGAGGTGCAGATCACACACCCCAAGTGAGTGCGACCACACATACACACGTCCAAGTGTCAAACACAGAGTGATACACGAACAGTCTTATGGCTTGGGGACATTAAAAACTGTATCTTATGTTTCACCAAGTCGTGGCTAAACGGAGACATGAATAACATACAGCTGGCGGATTATACACTGTATCGGCAGAATAGAACAGCAGCCTCTGGTAAGACTAGGGGTGGCGGTCTATGTACATTTGTAAACAACAGCTGGTGCACGATATCTAAGGAAGTCTCAAGATTTTGCTCGCCTGAGGTAGAGTATCTCATGATAAGCTGTAGACCACACTATCTACCAAGAGAGTTTATCTGTATTCTTCATAGCTGTCTATTTACCACCACAATGCTGGCACTAAGACCGCACTCAATGAACTGTATACGGCCATAGAAAAACAGGAAAACGCTCATCCAGAGGCATCGCTCCTAGTGGCCGGGGACTTTAATGCAGGGAAAATGTTTATCCGTTTTACCTCATTTCTACCAGCATGTTAAATGTATAACCAGAGGGGGAAAAAACTCTAGACCACCTTTACTCCAGAGACGTGTACAAAGCTCTCCCTCGCCCTCCATTTGGCAAATCTGACCATAACTCTATCCTCCTGATTCCTGCTTACAAGCAAAAACTAAAGCAGGAAGCACCAGTGACTCGGTCAATAAAAAAGTGCTCAGATGAAGCAGATGCTAAGCTACAGGACTGTTTTGCTAGCACATACTGGAATATATTCCGGGGTCCTTCCGATGGCATTGAGTACACCACAACAGTCACTGGCTTCATCAATAAGTGCATCGATGACGTCGTCCCCACAGTGACTGTACGTACATACCCCAACCAGAAGCCATGGATTACAGGCAACATCCGCACTGAGCTAAAGGGTAGAGCCGCCGCTCTCAAGGAGCTGGACTCTAACCCGGAAGCTTATAAGAAATCCCGCTATACCCTCCGATGAACCATCAAACAGGCAAAGCGTCAATACAGAACTAAGATCGAATCGTACTACACCTTCTTCGACGCTCGTCGGATGTGGCAGGGCTTGCAAACTATTAGACTACAAAGGGAAGTACAGCCGTGAGCTGCCCAGTGACACAAGCCTACCAGACGAGCTAAATTACTTCAATACTCGCTTCGAGGCAAGTAACACTGAAACATGCATGAGAGCATCAGCTGTTCCGGACGACTGTGTGATCACGCTCTCCGTAGCCGATGTGAGTAAGACCAACTGGCACGTGTCTTCACTGACATCTTCGACCTCTCCCTGTCTGAGTCTGTAATACCAACATGTTTCAAGCAGACCACCATAGTCCCTGTGCCCAAGAACACTAAGGTAACCTGCTTAAATGACTACCGACCCGTACCACTCACATCTGTAGCCATGAAGTGCTTTGAAAGGCTGGTCATGGCTCACATCAACACCATTATCCCAGAAACCCTAGACCCACCCCAATTTGCATACTGCCCCAACAGATCCACAGATGATGCAATTTCTATTGCGCTCCACACTGCCCTTTGAAAACATTTGGCATGGGTCCTCAGATCCTCAAAGTTCTACAGCTGCACCATCGAGAGCATCCTGACTGGTTGCATCATCACCTAGTATGGCAACTCTTGGCCTCCGACCGCAAGGCACTACAGAGGGTAGTGCGTACGGCCCAGTACATCACTGGGGCCAAGCTTCCTGCCATCCAGGACCTCTATACCATGCAGTGTCAGAGGAAGGCCCAAAAAATTGTCAAAGACTCCAGCCACCCTAGTCATAGACTTCTCTCTGCTACCACACGGCAAGCGGTACCGGAGCGCCAAGTCTAGGTCCAAGAGGCTTCTAAACAGCTTCTACCCCCAATTAGCAGTGCCCCCCCCCCCCCCCTCCCCCCCTCTTTACGCTGCTGCTACTCTGTTTATTATCTATGCATAGTCACTTTAATAACATATTACCTCAACTAACCAGTGCCCCTGCACATTGACTCTGTACAGGTACCCCCTGTAAATAGCCTCGCTATTGTTATTTGTACTGCTGCTCTTTTAATTATTTGTTACTTTTATTATTATTTTTTTGGGGGGGGTGGGGGGTATTCTTTCTTAAAACTGCGTTGTTGGTTAAGGGCTTGTAAGTAAGCATTTCACTGTAAGGTCTGTTGTATTCGCATGTGACAAATTACAATTTGATTTGAACAGAGGCTGGGTTGGGGTGTGTTCCAATTGCCACACTAGCATACCACTTAAAATGAAACAATGTACTGGCCATGTTTTTACATAGACAGAAACACTCACACACTCCCCCACAATGTCACCAGTCTTCAGGCACAGAGGGAGTTTCATCCCCAGTACATCCCAGAACTGGCCCTCTCCCCAAACACCCCCTGCATCAGTTTAGTTGGCCTTAACTCTGCTCTGTTGCCATCTTGGCTGCTGCTGCCACTAGCATCTCATCATTACATGAAGCGTGATGGCTCTCTGCTACTGCGTAGACCGTCCCCCAGGGGCAACTCAGAGCCTGTGTAGTACCAGGTAGATGGATGTAGGGCCAGTAATTTCAGAAGCGATTACAAGTGTTTGTGCTGTGAGCATGTGATAATGTTAGTTTTGGCTGCACTCCTGTACTTCTTGGCTGTGTATCTATGAACTACAGTGTAGGAGCAAATTGCCTTGTAAAGCAATACACACCACATCACAGTCGGCAGATCTGTAAACTTTTCAACTCTTAGCTGTATAGAATTGTTGCACCTTGAGTTGAACAACATAAGTCAAGTCAGTTTAAGCTGTATATAATATGTACCCTTAAACATCCTCTACATACCTTGAATGCTAGCCTATTCGTTTGAATGAATTAATCAAGTTATGTCACATTCACCATCTCTCCTCCAAACCTTGACTGTTATTCATTTGAATGCATCTCTTTGTCCTTCTATGCTTCGGCATACAGGTATGATTGGTTCAAGGACTTGAATCTGAAGTGGTACAGCCTGCCTGCTGTATCTAGCATGCTGCTAGAGGTGGGGGGGCTGGAATTCACCGCCTGCCCCTTCAGTGGCTGGTACATGGGCACAGAGATCGGAGTCAGGGACTTCTGTGACAGCTCTCGCTACAACATCTTGGAGGTATTATGATAATTTTATAAAGCATTTCTAAACATTAGCACCCCTTCGGTGGCTGGTACATGGGCACTGAGATTGTTGTAAGGGACTTCATTGGCAGCTCTCGTTACAATGGTAAAATGCCACTATTTTGACATTGTAATGAGACCATGAGGTATTGCAGTGTTACATGTGTAATGCTTTGGGTTTGGAAGGGAATTCGCAAGAGTTGTGAGTGGACTTTTTACTGTGATATTTACTAGAATCTATAATATGCTTTACTGTAATCTGGTAGGGCTATTTATGATGTCTTCAATACTTACCAGTGTGGCGGTTTAATCTGATATCATGGCAACATACATACAGAGCTAACAGTCATCACTTATACGCTCAACATTCATGCAATAGGTTTCCATAACACATCAAAATATACACTGAGTATAAAAAAACATTAAGAACACCTGCTCTTTCCATGACATAGACTGACCAGGTGAATCCAGGTGAAAGCAATGATCCCTAATTGATGTAACTTGTTAAATCCACTTCAATCAGTGTAGATGAAGGGGTGGAGACAGGATAAAGAAGGATTTCTAAGCCTTGAGACATGGATTGTGGATGTGTGCCATTCAGAGGGTTGAATGGCACACGTACATGCCTTTTGAATGGGGTATGGTAGTAGGTGCCAGGTGCACCAGTTTGTGTCAAGAACTGCAACGCTGCTGGGTTTTTCACGGTCCACAGTTTCCCGTGTGTATCAAGAATGGTTCACCACCCAAAGGACATCCAGCCAACTTGACACAACTGTGGGAAGCATTGGAGTCAATATGGGAGTCATCACTGTTTTAACTATCTAGGCTACTAGCCCAAGTGGCGAACGCTAGTTAAGTTTCACTTTGTTCTCGGATTAGCTGTTTCTTGGAGCCATGGAACCTGCTAGCTCGGCCCAGTGGGTACCAACCAAGGCCCCTGCACCAGCACAACCTTGCGTTTGCGGGGCGACCATTTCGGGTAAGGACACTCACTCCCTGTGTGTCGTCTGCTTGGGTGTCAAACACCAGCATCCCTGTGGAACACTTTCGAAACCTTGTAGTGTCCATGTCCTGAAAAATTGAGGCTGTTCTGAGGGCAAAAGGGGGTGGGGGGGACGACTCAATATTAGGAAGGTGTTTGTAATGTTTGGTGTATATATTTTGTTTTACATCAAAATAGTTTTCCTGGAAACAGCAAGTCTTCACGCTATTGTTGGTCAGATGAAGAGGATATCTTGTTTTTTCACAAACAGTATGATATAGCATGGTGACTAGAGCATGTCAAGCTTAGAGACTGTAGATATAATATGTACGGCTCTGGTTGTGCTGTTGGTATTCAGCTAACCTATCAGCATAGCTATTATAATGATGGTAATATTTTGTTTTCAGAGTTCCAAGGCATACTGCATTAGCATCGAACAGCCCCTGTGATATGCAACTTTTCAGGGAAGTCAGGAACCAATATACACAATCAGTTAGGAAAGCAAAGACAAGCTTTTTCAAACAGAAATTTGCATCCTGTAGCACTAACTCCAAAAAGTTTTGGGATACTGTAGTCCATGGAGAATAAGAGCACCTCCTCCCAGCTGCCCACTGCACTGAGGCTAGGAAACACTGTCACTACCGATAAATCTACGATAATCGAAAATTTCAACAAGCATTTTGCTATGGCTGGCCATGCTTTCCACCTGGCTACCCCTACCCCGGCCACCAGCTCTGCACTCTCTGCTGCAACTTGCCCATGCCCCCCCCCCCCCCCCCCCCCCCCCCCCCCCCCCGCCGTCATCCCCCTCTTCAAAGGGGGTGACACTCTAGATCCAAACTGTTACAGACCTATATCCTGCCCTGCCTTTCGAAAGTATTTGAAAGCCAAGTTAACAAACAGATCACCGACCATTTCGAATCCCACGGTACCTTCTCCGCTATGTAATCTGGTTTCCGAGCTGGTCATGGGTGCACCTCAGCCACACTCAAGGTCCTGAACGATATTATAACCGCGATCAATAAAAGACAGTACTGTGCAGCCATCTTCATCGACCTGGCCAAGGCTTTCGACGCTGTCAATCACCGCATTCTTATTGGCAGACTAAATAGCCTTGGTTTCTCAAATGACTGCCTCGCCTGGTTCACCAACTACTTGTCAGATAGAGTTCAATGTGTCAAATCGGAGGGCCTGTTGTCTGGACCTCTGGCAGTCTTTATGGGGGTGCCACAGGGTTCAATTCTCAGGCCGACTCAATTCTCTGTGTATATCAATGATGTCGCTCTTGCTGCTGGTGACTCTCAGATCCACCTCTACGCAGACGACACCATTTTATATACATCTGGCCCTTCATTGGACACTGTGTTAACAAACCTCCAAACGAGCTTCAATGCCATACAGCACTCCTTCTGTAGCCTCCAAATGCTCTTAAACGCTAGTAAAACTAAATGCATGCTCTTCAACCGAACGCTGCTTGCACCTGCCCGCCCGACTAGAATCACTACTCTCGGCGGGTTAGAATATGTGGACAACTACAAATACCTAGGTGTCTGGTTAGACTGTAAACTCTCCTTCCAGACTCACATTAAGCATCTCCAATCCAAAGTTAAATCTAGAATCGGCTTCCTATTTCGCAAAAAAGCCTCCTTCACTCATGCTGCCAAACATGCCCTCGTACAACTGACTATCCTACCGATCCTTGACTTCGGTGATGTCATTTACAAAATAGCCTCCAACACTCTACTCAGCAAATTGGATGTAGTCTATCACAGTGCCATCCATTTTGTCACCAAAGCCCCATATACTACACACCATTGTGACCTGTACGCTCTCGTTGGCTGGCCCTCACTACATATTCATCGCCAAACCCACTGTTTACGTGAAGGATAACATTAGTTGCTTGTCTTCTATGTACTGTAGTTGATTGATTGATTGTCCATTTTCTACGTAGCTTTGCAAACAACAGCACTGACCTGTCAAGTAGGTTTTTCACAACCAGTTTATTTGAAGGATAATGTTGAATGTTTATCTTCAATGTAGCAGTGAATACGGTAGCATTTTAAGAAGAGTAAAATATCACCCTAATTGAAATTTCACTTATCCTGTTTGTGCCGTCTGGCAGATAAGGCAGAGACAAGATCTCTCCACTTCTGATGGGCTAAAGCCTGTTTGGCAGCATGGCCCCAATTTAGCTTCAGTGCTCTTTTAAAATGATGTGGCACTATGGGGATTCACCTGAATTTTCTAAGTAGCTCGAATGACCAATCATACACGTTTGTTGGAGACAGACGTGGCGATTGAGGGAGGCCCTCTCCTCATACTAAAGAGCCACTCGCCTGCCCTCTGATCATTTCCACCTCTCTTAGCTCTCCTCAGCACGACTTGATCGGTTTTCCTGTTGAACTTTTCACAGTGCCGTTAAGGTTACGCCGCCGAGTGCAGGGTTATCTTTTGTGTTGGGTGACTGTACTGAAAGGAAAATGTTCGCTTCAGGTAAGAATTTGTTTCACTGTTTTTATTCCTTCGTCTCCTGTTGTAGCTAGTGTCACACTGCTAGCTTCTGAGACTTGGCTAGTTTAGCTGCCAGGCTTAGCTAACCTGGCTAGGTCTTGGCAAGGCTAGCTATCCTACCGACTAGTTTATCTACCTGGAAGGGTAGAGTTACTAGTTCGCTCGTATAGTTCAACCCTCCACCGGCGTTGAGTAGACTGACCATCCTAGCGTCACTGCTTATTGGTCGAGAGCCACTCTTTTGTTTGTTGTAAGAGCTTTAGCGCTAGCCTCCTTTGAATAACTTTGTGCTAGCTACTAGGCCATGTGTCCTTCGCTAGCTATGGTCACTTTGTTTATAGGATTAGCTTCTCCTGCTAGCACTGTGCTAACTATCTAGGGTACTAGCCCAAGTGGCGAACGCTAGTTACATTTCACTTTGTTCTCAGATTAGCTGTTTCTTGGAGCCATGGAACCTGTTAGCTCGGCCCAGTGGGTACCAAGCAAGGCCCCTGCACCAGCACAACCTTGCCTATGCGGGGCAACCATTTTGGGTAACACGCTTCCTGTGTGTCATCTGCTTGGGTGTTTAACACGCGGAAGCAGTGTTCAATGACCCCGGTCATGCATCCATTGTTTTTTTTGCTGCTAACACCCTCTGCCGTAGAGTGCGCAGAGCAGCCCAATGTGGTTCGTCCCACTCTTAACTCAAGCGGGGAAACTGCCTCGCAGACCCAGCCCTCATGGGCCAACGTCATGGATGGCTACCCCGAGGACATTCACCCACTTTTTTCCAGGGCTTGGCCCCAGAAGAGAGGGAAGGGGGGGTCTCTTCATCGACAAGGACAATGGAAACCTCCTCCAGACAGCGGTAGAGGATGAGGAGGCACAAGCGCTCGCCCCTCTTCCGCCCTTAGCGGAGCATCAATGGCGGATGACAGATATTCGCTCATTGATGTCTGGAAACGGGCAGCGACCAGACTCAGTATTGAGTGGCCCCGAACCCACGGGGGGAGGCAACGCAGAGAGGGACTGGTACAGCAAACTCCTCCCAGCTATCCCAGCTTGACTGGGGAAGCCAAACGCAATTGGTATAAACCTTTGACTGGCAAGGTCCAAACCTGACTTTTTGCTGACATGGATGTCAAGGACATAGACGCGTTGGGCCTTGACAAGCCACCAGTGGTCGAGCCGTCACTGGCCAACCTCCTTAACCCCAGTGCCTTGACAATTAAAAAAATAATAATAATAATTTAAGAGCAATTAGGGTTAAGTGCCTTGCTTAAGGGCACATCAACAGATTTTTCACCGAGTCGGCTCGGGGATTAGAACCAGCGACCTTTCGGTTACTGGCACAACGCTCTTACCCACTAAGCTACCTGCCGCCCCGTCAATGACAGGCATTTCTCTCCCTGGTAAGACAGACCGCTTCTCTGCGTACATCTACCAAAAGGTCTATGTGTCTGCCGCACGTTCTGTCGGACAGGGAGAAAGCAGATTTCCTTGACGCTCCTGTCCAGCCGACGGAACCG